CGAGACGGCGTGTTGAAGTTGGCGGATTTTGGCCTAGCGCGGCCACTGTTTTCAAACACGCCTGGTTGGTTCTAATTCAGATTGTTTTTTCGTTTACACTCATCGACTTTGATACATCTTGAAACGCTGTAACCAGTGAAATAAGAAGAGAGCAGCGCAAAATAACAATTTCACCATTTTCAGGCCAACCCGAGCATTGCTACACAAATCGTGTAGTAACACTGTGGTACCGTCCTCCTGAACTGCTTCTGGGTGAGCGAAATTATGGGCCGGCAATTGATATATGGGGCGCGGGCTGCATTATGGCCGAATTATGGACGCGCACTCCTATTTTGCAGGTGTGCCATTTCAAGCTCTGGCTCAGGGATGAATTGATTTGTGGCTCAAAACAGGATATTTCTGAAAATGAAGTCAAAATTTTGCAGGGCTCCACTGAACAGAAGCAGCTATCACTCATCTCAAACTTATGTGGGAGTATTAATCCTGAAACGTGGCGCGGTGTTGAGAAGCTGCCTTTGTACGGCAAAATAGAGCTAAAGCAAAACCTGAGACGACGTGTCGTAGAGCGTCTTGAACCTTACGTCAAGGTAAAGTTAATTCATTTCGGTTGTTTGGGGACACTTTGAGCGAAATGATCAGCATGGTTAGAATCGAGACGCACGCCATCAGGAAAGCCGACCTTTATCGGATGTTTGAATGAATTCTTGAGTGGATGTCTGCCTCTCCTTTGATGGTTCCAGGCCCTAACGCATCGGGCAGCAATTCCATAGTTAATCTATTTCATGTTGTATCCGGCTTTTCAGGACCGTGATGCACTGAACCTGGTTGATAGCCTTCTGGCTTTGAATCCGAAGACACGCCTCAGCGCCGAACAGGCCCTTGACCATGCATTCTTTTTCACAGAACCCCGTCCTGCTCCTGATGTCAAGGACCTGATGAGTACGATTCCGGTGTGTCGTTTTTTCCGAGCTTTTAAAAAAGCATTACCTAGCATTTTCTTATTCTCAGAAGTGTGATTTCACTGTTGTTAGTGTTACTTGCATTCTTTTAAAGGTGCAAAATTCACAATTCTTTGGAAGAATCGCATCAAGCAATTTAAGTGCTGAATCAAAAATTTTCGTACTAACGCGGTAGCAATGCGCCAAAATATCGCGCAAGAAATATTTTATTTTTAATGTTAATTCAAGCCTTCTATTGCAGGCAAGTTTATTTGAGTACAATGTCGGACGAGATAATCAGCGCGGACGAGAAGTACAACATCAGGAGAACCAGTCTTCGATGGGGCCCCAATGCCAATACTTTGACAGAATTTTTTGAGTGTCGATTTTTTTTGGTAATTAATGTTGCAGTAATTTTTAATCGCCTATTCTGTGTACATTTCCTTTTTTTTTTTTGCTGGAACATTACAGTGGTGAACTGACCAGAAGTAAATGCAAAA